ATCCTCCATCCATCCATCATCCATCCATCCTCCATCCATCCATCATCCATCCATCCTCCATCCATCCATCATCCATCATCGTCCATCCATCCATCCATCCATCCATCCATCCATCCATCCATCCATCCATCCATCCATCATCCATCATCGTCCATCCATCCTCCATCCATCCATCCTCCATCCATCCATCATCCATCATCGTCCATCCATCCATCCATCCATCCATCCATCCATCCATCCATCCATCCATCATCCATCATCGTCCATCCATCCTCCATCCATCCATCATCCATCCATCCTCCATCCATCCATCCATCCATCATCGTCCATCCATCCATCCATCCTCCATCCGTCCATCCATCCTCCATCCATCCATCCATCATCCATCTTGGTCCAGACTCAGGTCTTGAGGGCAGCATTTAGATCAGGGTGGTCCAGACCTCTTTTTCCACAGCTCCTTCAACTCATCAGGGATTCCAAAGTGTTCTCAGACCATCCGGGGTCTCCTTCATGTTTTCCTCCCTGTGGACATGTCCAGAACTCCTCCCTGTGAGGGTGTCCAGGGGTCCTGAGGAGCAGCAGCTCTGAGAACTGAACTTGTCAGCCCACCTCTGAGGGAGGGTCCAGAGTCCCTGCAGAGAAACTCTTCAGTACACCAGTAAAACAAACAGAGTCCTTCCAGCTGATAGAAATGTCTTTATTGTAACTCCTGTTCTTCTCTCACATCATTCATCTGTTACAGCAGCAGACATGAAAACAGCAACAGCACAGAGGAAATCCTCATCGTCAGTATTTACAGCAGCAGGACGACTTCGGACCTCCGACCAGAACAGTCAGAACCTCCAGACCACCTGACCAGCCTGACTCCACCAGTTATCAGCTGAAGCAGTTTAAATAAGAAGAAAAACTTAAATATAACTGATTATTATCTGTTTCCAGCTGCAAACAAACAACCAGAACCAGTCAGGCCCGGTTCTGGAGTCACTTCAGTCCTTTTTCATTAGAAATGAGGATTTTAAAACAGGTAGCTTTAGCAGTTTGTTCATGAAGTTTCTGCTGAGAAAAAACCCCACTTAAAATTCAAATTAATATCTATTTTATTGATTTATATTTCATTTTGAAGTAAAACTGAGTAAATATCTGATTTTCTGGTTTAAAGAGAAACTCAAAGATCAGAAACATGGAGAGTCGAAGTCGTCCTGCAGGTTAAAGAGTAAATAATAAAAAACAGAATAAAACTATGAGGAGCTGTTTGTAAAGTTACACTGTCAAAAATTACCACCAATAGTTTTGTTTTATTTAATCTTTTATTAGAAAAAAGAACAGATTTATTTTTCAAAGTCAGTTTTTCACCACATGATTCATACATTTATAAATGTCATAGTTTATAAACTAAATATTTAACTTACAAATTAAATATTTAGTTAACAAGATAAATATTTAACGTGTGATTTAAATATTTAGTTTTGAGCTAAATATTTAGGTTGAAACTTAAATATTTAGTTTTGAGCTAAATATTTAGGTTGAAACTTAAATATTTAGGTAGCTACCTAAATATTTAAGTTAAATATTTAGCTAGCTAACTAAGTAGTTAGGTCACAACTTAAATATTTAGTTAGCAAGTTAAATATTTATCTTGTTAACTAAATATTTAATTTGTAAGTTAAATATTTAGTTTATAAACTATGACATTTATAAATGTATGAATCATGTGGTGAAAAACTGACTTTGAAAAATAAATCTGTTCTTTTTTTCTTATAAAAGTTTAAATAAAACAAGAATATTGGTGGTAATTTTAGACTGTGTAACTTTACAAACAGCTCCTCATATAAAACACGTCAAAATGTAGAAAAGAGATGAAACAATCTTTGTGTCATCGTGTTTCTTTGTTTTCTGCCACAGCAACAAACCATCAGAACCAAGCCAGAACCCTCACAGAGACCAGCGCCAGAATCAGAACCAAAAAGAAAAAAATGATCTAAAGCGAGCGACGCTTCTTCGCTCTGACTCGTCTTCATCCTGGCGAGGGCTTTTATTTTGTAGCACAGAAACAGGAAGCAGCCAGGGAACATGACAGGAAGTGAGGAAGCAGAGCTGAATGAAGCTGCTTCACACAGAACTCAGAGCTGCAGTTCTTCTCAGAGTTAAACGTGTTTAAATCAGATGAATATTTAATGTTTTTAAGGTTTAATCTCCAACATTTTAACGATTTATTTTAATGATGAGTGCAGAAGGGTTGAATCTGTTTATTTCAGTGAAAAATATCCGTGACTTTCTGTCAGTCTGCTGTTTTTAACATTCATGGATGATTTTATTTTTACATTTTTATTAAGGTTTAAAAACAAACAAACATGCCACTCTGCTGTAGAGAGGTCAGAAAATAGCTGCACATCATTTGGTCACTAAGCAACACGAACCGAAGCCGATCGTCTCCAACCTGCTGCTTCGGCTGTTTGTCTCTGCTCGTCTTCGCTCAGAAGGTGTGTGTGTGTGTGTGTGTGTGTGTGTGTGTGGCAGTGACTTCTGCTAAATTAAAGAAAAAACAAAGATTGCAGTTTGATCGCAGCATCAGGTTTGGCTGCGATCAAACAGTCGTGTTTTTTCTCTCCGGGAAAGAAACGGTGTGTCGATGACATCATAGCTGGCTAAGCCAATAGGAACCCTCCGTTCCAGAGAAGAGTTAGCTCTGCCTGAAAGCTGACAGTGAGTCAGAGGGACAGGTTTCAGGATGGAGCGGGTCTCTTCCGGTCCCACCTGAACCCACAAATTCGGTTTTTTAAACTCGCCACCAGAACTCACTCTGCAGCTCCTCTCTCTGTGAACTCACTTTTTTATTTTATTTTATTTTATTTTAGTTTTTGGTGCTGGCTCGTTATTTTTGTGGCTCGTGACTACAGCTGCTGTCCTGCAGCTCTAAAAGGTCAAACCGGTGACAGGAACGTGTGCAGCAGAACTCTAAAACCACTCCGGCCTCCCTCCGCAACAAACAACAACCCAAACCCCGAGAGTCCACGGTGCTGGAGACGCCTGGAGGTGACAGTCTGTGCCGCTTCCCGCCGCTCGGCCCGGGAAGAGCGGGGCGTTCTGGGACAGGTGGTCCCGGAGACGTCAGAACAGACAGAACTTCTTCTTCAGCTGGTTCCTCTTCCAGAGGGACAGATGGTCAAAGTCCTCGATGGTCATCCCGAAAATGCTGAAGAACTCCTCCTGAGAGAGGTGTCTCTGCAGGCAGGGGGCGGAGCAACAGTTTCATCAGAAACAGGAACTGGTTTGAATAAATATTAAAGTTCCTGTGACGTGCCTATCCTTCAAATACAAAAAGTCAGAGAAAACATGTTTACACAAGAAATTTGCATAATACATGCAATTTTACCCATTTTGTCTCAAAACTGGCCTATTTTCTTTTGAATTTGGCTCAAAGTGAAACAGGAAGTGACATCAAAGAGAAACTCAATAAAATAAACTCTCTGGTCTTTGTTTATCAAAACTAAATTATTTAAACTTTAACTCTTCCTCACCTCTCTTTGATAGAAACTAAAAATAATCAAAAGAAACATCAGATTCTTCTCTTCAGTTTGTGTTGTTTTTGTAACAACACTGTTTACATGCAGACGTTCCCCTCTGACATCACTTCCTGTTTCTTCACAAGCAAATATCTCAACAACCGTTCATCTCAGTGACATGAAATTTGTTTTGCAACATGTTATCAATGTTCTCTTTAAAAAAACATTTATGTTTATAACAAAAATTTGATGTGACAGGCCCTTTAAAGTTTAATTTGTTTTACCTCCAGTCTGGTTCGGTCCACTCCAGGAGGAAGTTTGCTGCGTCCTCTGTGTGTCACCACCAGCATCTCATACGGATAAACCTGCTCCCAGGAGATAAACAAGAAGAATGAACCTCATCAGAGAGGATTCTTACACTTTCAGACACTGAAACCTGCAGCGTCCAGATTCTGCTGTCTGCTGCTCTAAATGCTGAGTCATCGGTTTGTTTAGCAGCACAGTTTGAGGCGCACTTCTACCTTTGTCAAAGCTTTTAGAACAAACGCATCAAATCATCTTATTACACAAAATATTTGAATGTTTCTGAATACAGACTTTTATCCTTTAGTGAAAATATGTTTTAGATGCTGAGGTAATGAAACTCAGTCTGACAGTGAAGTTATTTTACATCAATAAACATTTTTCAAGAAGCTGAAAATGTTGAAATGAATCTGTTTTGACTTTTCTGACCTTGTGTTCCAACATGCTGGGCAGGGAGTTCCCTCTGTCCATCCTGGAGTCTCCGTTCTGACAAACAAACAAACAAACAATAAAACAATCAATCAAACAAACAAATGAACAAACGATCGATCGAACGAACGAACGAACGAACGAACAACCAACCAACCAACCAACCAACAAACCAACCAACCAACCAACCAACCAACCAACCAACCAACCAACCAACCAACCAACCAACCAACAAACCAACCAACCAACCAACCAACCAACCAACAAACCAACCAACCAACCAACCAACCAACCAACAAACCAACCAACCATCCAACCAATCAACATCTAACCAACCAACAACCAACCAAC